ACTGTAATGTGACGTACTATAAATTCTTTTGCGATAACACAACTCTTCAATGCTGTTGTGCATGGATTTGATGACCTACTTTCTGTCGACTATGCGAGCTGCCACGTACCTCTGGGCTTCCCTAGCCATCCTCAAGGACTCAACCGGCTTGCGTGGACACGAAACGGGTTTTACCAAATTATGAAACCTTATTCTTCGGGGTTTATTAGAGGAAAATAATAGTAGACGCAATGATACCTTCTGGTAATAGTGAAGCCTCGTATTTGTGTGTACATGATTCATGTTGTCCATGTTAAAATTTATTATTATCATAATTTGAAAACTAATTGCACCGTGTCAAGTTAAGCTAAATAACTAAAAGTACGCACAGGCGTACTTAGCTTATATATTTTTAGGTATAAACTACCATAATTACAGAATTATGGTAGTTTATGCCTAAACATATATATTAAAGTAACGTACTTATCTACAAAAGTTCATTAGTGTAACTAGTTAACGGTATTTTGAATGGGAAAATGCTAATTGTTAGATTCTTCTGCGTACATAGTCATTACCTATATAAATAACTTAAATTCCCATATATCCTATATCTTAAATCTCTAACTGTAAATATCTTATGAGTATTAGATATACATAATATAGATATAGTGTCATGAACCCCATTAAAGTGAATATAATATTATAATATATGTATAATAATTATTTAATTGTTTCTTTTGAATTAATAATTACTAGTTTAAGTGAAGTAATAGATTAAAAAAGAAATCGGTGATTTTTTACGTCAGTACGTTTATTTCACAAAGGAACTATAAAAAGATGGGAAAACTGAGACCACCAGCCCGTGACGACGACGAATGACGCTACATCCGTTTGCAGAGAAAGCATGAAGCTCCTTAGACCTCCTCCCTCTACAGTAATTGTTGACGTAATCCCTTGTTTTAATTTGGAAAATAATGTATGAGCCACGTAATTGTAATGCTTATGATGAAATAAAAAGTGTAATATTTGCGATACGTTGTGAATAGGTGTTATAATTTCAACGGAAGATAAGTGTAACAAGAAGAAGTAGAAAATTAAATGACATTTTTGATAGATTTGTAAGATTACTTAATATCATGAAATAAGATATACGCAATCCTAGTTTATAAAATAATACCAACCAAAAAAGAAATGTTGGATAAAATTGTATAAAGCGACATCTGTTATTATTCTTCCGAACTATGAGATAGTTCAGGTGTTAACAAATATAGGCGTCAGCGTACTGCGAAAGCTGAAATACCAACTGGCATCACAGCGTGGCATATTGGTTTCAACGTGTTACCCTAGATGGCGTTTTCATTATTCTTTGGCAGAGTTGAGTCCATGTTAGTAATCATGAATAACACCATCGCCCTTGCCTTTTGTATTTGATGTATCGTAGAATTTGATGAAGGGTAGGATCCAGGAGGTCTACTCTCGTTTTTCGTCCGACATCCGTCCGAAACAATTACTGTCAAATCTATATATATCTATATCTAATACTCGATCAAATTCTTAGATTATGGATTTTTTCCGATCGTCTAAGATCAAATTAGAAGACAATGTTAAGTATGAAGCTTTCGTCGTATTTGACAGTAATTGCGTCGGCCGGTATCGGACGGAGAACGAGAGTACATAGCCCGGAGGGTTACCTATCACAAGCTATAAACATGATTTACAGAATTTTGTTTCTCCCAAAACCTTTAGACTTTTATAGAATAGATTTTGTTTCATTTGTCCGAAAACACGTTACGGTTTTTTTCATTACACCATTTAATGTTTCAGTATTTTGACATATTGACAAGTTATTATTTTCCCGATTTTTATTTTCCCAACAAACCGTTTGACCAATATATCTAATTGAATATTTTTAATATTTTTAATTATAACGATATCCATGATAAATTATTGTTATATTATTTTTTATTACAGATATTAAAAGTATTAGAACGTGTCGCACAATACAGCTCGTCAAATTAAAGCACCGAGATGTAGTCGCTCGCTTCAATCGTTCGGATCGTGCTGCCTTTTCAAATACTAACCTAACCTAAACCCATAGGATATATACCGCCTAGGTAATACAAACAAATTCGGGTCTGGCACTCGCCGGCCACTGCCGCGACACGCTCGCTTCCCTCGCTCGGCTCGTGCGGCTTTTTCATATACTAACCTAAACCCACAAGAGGGGGTCGTACCGTCCAGGAAAAGCAAACAAATTCGGTTCTAGTACTCTCATCGATTCAATTATAAGTTATTTATTGAATACTCAAGACCATTGTTTTTAAACTACATTTCAGATGACTAATATAACTAACTAGTGGAATAATTTCTCAAAAAATAATTGAATCTCAATTCAATAAAAATTTAAAATAGTAATGTTGTCGAAACGAATTTTCAGCAATCTAAATTATATGGAAAACAGACAGAACAAACATGATTAGACCAAACAAACTTCTGCCCAAAGAATACGTATGTGTAATAATTATTCTAATAATAGGTTTTCGGACAAACAATACTTCTGCTGTAAGACATTTCTGTGTTGCAAATTTATATTAAAACTGTCATCGCAATAATAAAAAAAAGTTGAACCGTTTTCGGAGTAATGAAACTTGGAAAAAGAAATTCGAGTTTGTGATAGGTTATCGGCCAGGAGATAGGCATTAGGCCGGATTGAAATATCATTGCTTGGTCCTAATGTATAATAACTTCTGGGCCCAAGAGTCGCTGATACAATTCACCTCAACATTAAAATAGATTTGTATATTTTTATATATTAATAAACAACGTACGTACAATAAATAACGGACGTCACACACCATTTAAAAAACGATATATCTATTAGTCTCATTTCATGTTATGTCTTGAAAATGAATTAGTCTATTTCCCAAAAATATTCTTCCTGAATTTCATTAATTTGTAATTAGAGGTGCTATCGTACAGCAGATCAGACGCGTTTTTGTCAAATTTATTCTTGGTTTATGACTACTTTCGTCAGACCTATGCTGGTGGGTGGTATTGTTATAGGCTTACGTGGTGAGTTTACGTGATACTAGAACTAGTAGTTTAGTAGCAGTCTACTGCTGCTATTAAACTACTAGCTACTACTGCTTCTTCTGAAAATCTTCGTCCAGGGAAGTTGTGCCCGAAGGCACCATCTTTTTATATTATGTTTAATGCATTGTCTTTGATAGTGTTTTTCTCTTGACGTCTTTAAAAAATGTAAAGATATGAAGTACGATATTAAACCGACTTTTAACAAAAATGTAATTTACTGTTCTTTGTAGGAATAGAAGTACTGCCACCTTGTCTTTTTCTGCCGTCAAGTAGGAGCATTCTAAGGGTGCTGGTGAAATTACAGGCACATGGAACTTGTCAACTTATATCTAAGGGTGACAAGTGCAGTGGCAGTGCTCCTCGGATCTTTTTGATGTTAATTCTGAGTGGCACTGCAACTGTCTTGGATTGGCGTGTAGCTTACCACCAGGTGCACGACTTGTCCGTGTCGTCGCCGTCACTTGATATCATGAACAAAAAAAACACTAATTAGAACCTGCATTTTGTAAAAATACGCTGTATTGCCGTGTAAAGTGAAATTTGTGTGATTGGTAAGCAATTCTTTGTTTAAGGCTTTTATTTATGTGTAATCGTGCTATGCACCATACACACGTCCACTTTGTCACAACTTTATACTATTGATGAAGCATGTTGGCAACTAAATGAAAGCTGTGCCAGGATGCGAAAAATATCTTACTAATATTAAGAAAAGCATCCAGAAACGATTAATTTGCTGAATTTAGTACTCTTATTTATACACCTAAATTCCTATATTTATTAGCGCTTTAATTAAAATTTTACAAAAGCATACGTAGCTGATGCTTCAGTACTATTGCAGTAGTACTATGACGAATGCACGTAGAGTAGAGCACGAAAACGGAATTGGTTTGACTAGAAACCGAAGTGTTAATTGGTCATTTTTGTCAAAATAACGTAACGTTACTTTGATATGAAGCCATGTGAACCGCGCCGTTGCCGAGTTTTCTACGCCGCTGTCGTCCATCAATTTGACCGGCGTAAAATTGGCGTAGCAAAACTTGTTATATTTTAATGAAGTATCTGTTTCTACTTACTATATATATATATATATAATATTATACAATATTTACGTTCAAATAAAATGAATTATGTTTCCGTTTACGTACATTCAATTCACACTAGATTAACAAGAGTGTTTATTTTTATGTGATTGTTTTATTATTATTTGTTTTTGTAACAATACCTACATACATACCTGCTGAATTATAAACTATAATGAACAAAACCATTGAAAAAGCATACAAAGATTGATCTAAACAATTTTTTACTGTTTTTTTAAAATCTGAAAAATATAAGTCATGTCGATCACGCCGCCAGCGCTGGTCGAAAAATCATCAGACGCCGCTGCCGACGATTTTACGATCGTCGTACATCTGTTTTGTATATACTATTATGCTTAATTACTTCATTTGTACAATAAATATTAATGACGTCAATGTTTTTTTTTAAATATTTCTATAGAACAGGATATGTAAATTCGCGAATTACCTTTATTATGGTTCAGAATAGGTACCTCAATTTATTGCGGATCTCAAGCGGATATGGAACGTACCTGTGCGTTCTTGGATTAATAAATGTTTTTAGATCACAATATGCTATGAGCTTTTTGCGGCTCCCGCCTGTGACGTCCACGCCTACCTATCGCTAATCTCATCATACATCAAGGCGTCCATTACCCATCATCGTCCTGTAATTGTGACGTCCGACCTTTTGCAATTTCGGTGACAACAAGGTCGGTCAGTATATACGTACTCTGACGCCCAAATTACAATTTCATTAGATATTATCATCTGTATAAATAGTGGGTGAGTTAGCTTAAGGCATCAGTCGAACACGTCTGGCACGAAGTGATCTTCCTTTTTTGAATCTCAACACAAACCTCGTTCGCCATGAGATCGTTGGTGGTGTTGCTCGCTATGGTCGCCGTGGCGGTTGGCGCTCCTCACGTGGAGAAGAGATCTATCGCCGTACCGCTGACTTACGCAGCTGTGCCGACGGCAGTGTCACATCAGTCCCGAGTGGATATACATAGCTCCCCGGCCGTGGTAGCGGCTGCCCCTGTCTCATACGTTGCCGAACCCGTTGTAGCTCGTGCGGTTTATGCCGCTCCTGTCTCTACCGTATACGTTGGCGGTGCGGCAGTGTCTCACCAATCTCGTGTGGACATACGCTCCTCTCCTGCATACTCTCAGCAAGTGGTGGCTCCAGCAGTAGTCGAGGCCCGTTCCGTCTACGCTCCTTCCATCTACGCTTGGTAATCTCAGTGAAATACTTGATATAGACAAATTATAAATTAAACGAGAAAATGTCAATATGTATTTTTGTGATTGTGTGTCTCGTACATATCGTAAATAAAAGAATTTTATTATACTTTCGTATTTTAAATTTACAAATCCTGTTTCGAACTTCTAATAAGACTTTTTTTAGTTCATAATTACGTATGGATTTTAGGCGTAAAGGTAGTTGCTTGTTACTGCAAGCCACGCACTCCACAGGTGATTGCACAGTAGTATAATTTGATAGATAAGTGTGGGATGATGATGATACATGATGGATAAATATAGATAGTTGAGATAAACACAGATTGGCCACGTTTTCGTAGTAATTATGAACGATATTTAAATTCTTGTTTATTTCTTAGGTAGTCACTTAAGTAGTTACGTACTCAGTAACGAGATTGAATTTAAGCCAAAGTGCGAGGTCGCTTACTTTCAGGTAACATTTGACATTGTGTTTCACAATATACATTTAGTTTTAATCTTTAATATTCA